CCGGCACTGCATCTTCTTCTGTGCATCTGCATTCCCCCCGGGCAGCCCTCCATTCATCCTCCCAGATCTGCTCTGCAGGCACCCCCTGAACCCCGCAGAGGGACTCCCCACGTTGCCCCTGCATTCCCATCGTGCATTCCCTGGCTCCATTCCCCACGCAGCTCCTGCATCCCCCCTGGGCAGCCAGTCTGAGCCCTCCTCCCCCTCTGTCTCCCTGGAATGCTTGGCACTGCCCACATCTCCCCCACCCCTTTCTCCCCGCATCCCCGCAGGCATCTCACTCACCTCTCTGTACAACCCCCACGGGCACATCCCACTGCACCTTCCCCCTGCATCCCTCCAGCACTGCCCCCACACGCCTGGCATCCCCCCTGCACCCCCAGGTGAACCCCAGACAGGTGGGAGGGTTTTGGGACAGGACTCGGACACCCATAGGGCACCACCATGAGCCACGGGCTGGGGCAGACAGGCTGGAGTGCTGACTGTGCCTCCCACGGATGCCATTAGGGAACAGCAGGGACCTCGAGGGATATCAGAAACTGGGCTTTGTTTGGGGAAGGTGGTGGTGTGCACAAAGGCCGGCTCAGGAGCAGCCCGGGGATGCTCTGCTCCACAGCCCTCCCTGCCAGCGCAGGCCCAGGCCGGCAGGGAGCTGCCCACAATGGAAAGGATGTTTCAGTGGCATTGCATCCACTCACATCACACCAGAGCTTCACCTGAATCATATCCGAGCTTCAGAAATGTGCCCGGGGCTCCCAGGGCCCTGACAACGACCAGCTGCTCAAGCTGGGGTGGTCTCAGGGTGGCTCTGGTTCCCAGAGTGGGTGTTGCCTGACCAGATTTGGGGCCCCACACTCCATCTCTCTGAATGCAAACACCTTCCCGAGCCCCAAACAGATTTGCAAAACCTACCTGGGTGCGCAGGGATGAGGGGGCATCCAAGGAGCAGTAAGTACAACCCATCACTGGAGCTGGAGAGGAAAATCACAGTCTGGTGCCACCCACTTGTACCAGCCCTGCCACTGAGCAGGTGAGCTAGTGAGAGTCTGAGGAAACAGGGAAGTACTCCCAGCTCAGCCGTGAGATTAATCCAAGGGAAATTTATAGGGAGCCTGTTCTGCATCAGACAGGGCCAGAATGCTCTGGCAGCTCCTGCACTGGGCTGGCTTTGACCCATTTGCAGGCAGCAAATACATGGAGGGGCCAGATGGAGGTGGGTCCCTGTGCCACAGGCAGGCTTATCCCGGGAAATTACAAATATCAGCAAAATGGGGATTTGGAGGGTTTCTGTGTGCAAACAGTGTTGTATTGGAATTAGGGATGTGACAATTTGCGGCCACAATTTGCAGGCACAGGGGAGTTGGGTGACTGTCACCATAAGATGTTGCTCACTGAAATCACTGTGGGTTATCACTGCAGGACACTGGAGCCTCCAGGGCTCCCCACCCCACAGGTCCTCACAGCACCCTGGGCAGAAATGATGGGTTTTGTGTGACCATTCCTTCTGATTATGCAGTGAAGGATGGTTTCCATTAGCACCAGCACATTGCAAATCCAATCCTCACTTCCCATCCGGTTTATGGGCTTTTCCTCAAGTTTCCCATTGATTAAGGTGTGTGAGATGGATGAGCAGCGCTGGCGGGTGCTGGGTGTGCTACGTGTGTGATGCACATCCAGAGAGATGCAGGGGGCAAAGCCAGAGGAGAGGTGGGAATAGATGAAAGAAAACCCTTTCGTTTCAAAACATCCACCTCCCTCTGCTGGGGAAGGTCTGAGGGATGTCGGCAGGGGATGCAAAGTAGGGGCAAAGTATCTCCACAGGGAGCAGAGAAGGGCGAATGAGCTCTGGCAGCAGCAGGGAGGGTTTAGGTTGTGGCAGTGGGAAAAGCTTTCTGAAGCTTTTCAGAAGAGTGAAGATAGGAAAGAGGTTGCCTTTGTGGGAGTGTGTGTGCAAAACCTCATTGTGTCGGTGCTAGGTGATAAAAAAAAGGGCAAATCCCAGGAGAATCAGGCTGAATCCACGTCTGGGAGTGCTCTGCAGCCCACTGCAATGCTCATCAGTGATCATCATGGCCATCAAATCCTAGCTACAAGCTACATCACAGACCTTCCATCCCAAGGCCATTCACCACGACTCCCAATGTATCTGCCTGGGGAATTGTTACTGGTGCCAGTAAAGCCCTGTGCCCAGCTCAGGCTGCAGCATCATGTGAGCTGGGTGAGAGCCTTGCCCAGACACTGACTGCAATGTAGGGACCCTGGTTTTGCTGCTCCCTGGTCCCTGCACTGCTCCTGACCTGTCTCCCACTGACATAATTTTGAAATTCAGAGTGGCAATTTTCCCAGATGAACCCAAGCAATTTCCAGGGGTGTCAGGAAAGACAGACTTTGGCCCCATGTGCTTTGCAGTGGATGTAGACTAAGGCAGAGGCTCTGGTTAACTCTTTTCCTGGGATTATTCGAAAACCTGGAGAATTACAGTGAGCCGCCAACAATACAATAAATTTTGTGAGCTGAGAGGTTAAACAGAAGCTGCTGTAAAAGAAGCATGGAAAGGGGCACTGCTGAACCAGTAACATTTAAACTCTCCTGAATAAAATTCGTAATAACCCTGGCATTTTATATCTGTCCATGAATTACAGTTAAAATCCCACCACGTCCCACGCACGCTCGTTGCTCTGTACGGCAATAAGATTACAGCGAAGAGCTGGACGAGCAGGGAAGAATGTAATTTAAATGCTGCTCCTTTGAAAACCAAGCCCTTCTTTTTAAGGCACGTTCAGAAAAGGAAAGTACAAATAATGCACCCAGAAGGTGCTATTTTTTCCAGGGGTGGGATGGCAGGGCTGGCACTGAGCTGCCTGCCCTGGGCAGCAGGATTGTCACCCTGTTCCTGCCTGCGGAGGAGGGACAGGACAGTGGGAGCTGTGCCTCTGCCTGCTCCAGTGCAAGGAGTTAAGCAAACAAAAGCCGTTTGCAAACACCCACGGTTCAGAGGTGTCCCTGGGATGCCAGAACAGGGAAGCCACTTGGCTTGGAGCCATCGGCCAGCCTTGCTGGCAGGAGCTGCCCGGTGAAAGCCCCGGCCACAGGAGCCTGGGTTTTATCCTGTGCGTGATGAGAGCCTGTCGACATCGAGATTACAGCACAAATCAGGTTAAACCCCATTTATCTGACCCAAGCAGAGCCCGTGTGCTGGGATGTGAGTGAGTGGGGCCATTGCCGTGCCGATGGCTGCGAACTTGTCCGGGTCTGCCGGAGAGCCGGGCAAAGCCCGTCCATGCAGCTGTGCACGGTGGGTAATCCAGGGCATGCAATAATTAAACCAGCACACCTGGAAATAGCTCTTTCTGTAGCTCCCAGGCTTAACCAAATGAATGAAATTTGCGCTGGCGTAATTAAAGCGATGCGGTTCAGGATCTCGTCTGCAGCAGGGAGTTACTGCAGCTTGGCTCTTCACTCTCCGTGACAGCCACGTGGAAGAACCCCCAGCTCCAGCCCCTGCACGGCGGCTCCAGTGCTGACTTCTCACCATCAGGGTGCCCATTAACACCAGCCCATTAACAACAGTTCATTAACACCAGCCTTCAAACCTGTCCAGCGTCCTCCGGAGCTGCCCCGGCTCACTCCAGCGCACAGCAGAGATGGCAAAACACCGGGCTCTCGGCTGCAGTCCCTGCTCCCCTCCAGGGACTTGTAAATCTGCAGGAGAAATCAGTATTCGTCCATTTTAACTATGTTAAACCACGACACATTTATATTCACTCATCTCAAACAGTCTCTTTATTTTTATTCTCTGCTTGCCCTTTTAGGTGTTAAAATAACCCCAGACTTGCTAGTGGCCAGATGGTTTTGGGGATATTAATGGTAAAATCCTGCACACGAGTGAGCTGCCAGTGAAACTTGCCAGTGGAAAATAAGATTTGGAGCCTCCGTGGAGCTTCATCCCCACGGCTGATGTGTCACAGCAGCACATGGCTCTGGCAATGCCACCACTGCTGTCAGCACGCAGCAGCCACCAGCTTTGCAGCTGGGAAAGCCCTGGGTGAATTCCCAGGAGATTCATGCTCACTGGAAAAATTCTGTCCCTGCCTTTTTCCTTCCCTTTCTAAATCTGGATTAAGCTTTCAGTCTGAAGAGGTGACATCAAATGTGACGGAGAGGAAGGAGGGGATGAGGTGGAGCAAGGCCCAAGGAGGAGTGGACAAGTGGCAGCTCTATGGTGGTGCCCAGCTTCGGTCACAACACTGCAGGTACAGAGAAATTAACTTCTAAATTCTTGACACATCCATTTTATAAATCTCTGACCTCTGGCAGCTCTCAGTAAAAAATGGGTAAATTTACAGGGGAAGAAGCTCTCTGGCCAGGGTGGAAGGGCTCAGAAGCACAGGGATCACCAAGGAGGATGTGCCAATGGTTTTCTGCCACCCAGCACCTCTTCAAGCACTGAAGGCAGCACCCAAAGGGATTTAAATTGGGGATTAGAGAGGCTGCCTGGCTGCAGTGATACACTGGGGGTACAGAGCATCCCCAGAGCCAGAGGTTTTAGCTGTAATTAGACCAACATCTGTCCGGCCACGGTCGAGGCTTGCGCAGTCTCTGTGTTGCTCCAGGCTGGGCTGGAGATTTCCCACAGGCTCCTCCTGCTCTGCTTTTCTGCAATTTCACAGATATCAGATATTTTTTTCCATCTGATGAGTTCTTCCTCTCCAGAAAGATTAAATCTTGATTGTCAGGTACTGCTGTAGCAGGCAAGAAGATTTCCCTACCTAGTTCAAATGTCATCCTAGTAAAAATGCTAGTAATAAAAAATAAAAGAGAAAGGGCCCATTATGGACTCAGGCCTGAAAAAATATCCAAAAGATGGATCCTGAAGTTTAGAAACAATTGAAGCTCAATGGCCAAAGGGTTCTCTGTGGACGGCTGGGCCCAGCATACACATTGATAGGGTGGGGAAATCAATCAAGGATAATTGACTGCGTGCTGGTCTCAAACTAAAATGGAACAAACCCAAGCCTTTTCACCCATCTCAAATGGGTTTGGGGATTATTGTTATTTTGGAAGTTAAGGCAGGAAGGAAATGCCCAAGTGAGGGGTGGTAGAATGGGGAAATGCTTCACCTGGAGAGGGTGCTGGGACAGGGAGGGGACCACAGGATGTGGCACCCATCCCACTTGTGAAGCAGTAACTTTCCTGGTTGTTCCCACCATCCCACTTCATCTGAGAGCACTGTACCAGGGAGAAGGATCAGAGTCAAGAGGGTGCTGGTAACAAACTGAGCAGAGCCAACCCCACCCCTGGAAGAGCAGGTCTTGGAAAATCCGGTTACACCGGTGCCACGTGGGGGACGTGTTGTCACCGTGCAGGGGGAGGCTATTTCAGGCTCCCCCAAAGGAAGCACGCTGCTGCTGTTGGAATGATGGCTCCAGGGCTGGATTTGGGATCAAAAGCTGGACCCCTAGAAGGGGCTGGGGGTCACCAGGAAGGGACAGCTGCTGCCTGCTCTCTATGGTGGCTTTGTCAGATCAAACACAACTTTTGTATTTCGCCCACAGGAGGGGTGATGTACCAAGGACTTGGCTGTGACTGGCGCAGGATGAGCCTCCCCACAGCATTTTCACTTCCCAGCAAACCCCACTGCACTGGAGCAAGCACCAGGAGCAGAAACACAAGAGAAGAGCAATGAGCCTGGGGGTGGAGAGATGCAAAGATCAAACCAGCAGCGATTTCAAAATAAAATCCAAGAGCCCAGGGAAAACACGGTGTGTCCTTGCCGAGGCTATCATTTATGCCAATTAAAAAAAAAAAAACAAACTGGCATGGCACGAAGGAGAGCTGCGTGGTATTTCCTGAAAAGGGTGTGGGGAGCATCCTTGGAAAGCCTGCCCTGCACAATGTGCTTGCTGTTTCCAGAAAAATAAAGTTTGCTGTGACCCACCTGTCCCTGAAAAGCAGCTATTTAGGGCTGGAACATGGTCAGCCCGGAGTCAGTGGCTGGGTCTGTCCTGACTGCAGAGCAGCTGGCACCTTTGCCAGGATTTGGGGTTTGGCATTTACCTGCAGCTTTTTAATTGATGCAAAATGTCTTAGAAAAAAATGCAGGAGAGCTGCCCAAGCACCAAGTGCTCACAACTGAAGGTCTTTCCTCCACAGCTTTTGGCTGGTGGCCATTAACCCCCATACCAGCCCTGAGAGCCATGACAGAACAGGACAGGAGGGGTTTTCTCCTTTGCCACCTTCAGATTTTGGGAGTATTTTAACTCAGCTAGGAATCTGCGGGGTTTAGAGCAGCAGTTTTGGGGTTTGCCAGAGAGACAGCTGTGGGAGTGATGGGTGAGAGCAGCCCCGTGGGACAGTGGAGGGGCTCTGCTGACAAAGGACAGGAGGGCCCCCATTGGGAAGGGACAGCTTTTGGTGGAGAAGGGAGTGTCCCATGGGTCTGTGTCCCCTCATCCCCTGGCAAGCTGGGACAAAGACTCACTCCCCACCCCAGTGGCAGAGCATGCTTGGGGCTCACCAAGGGCATTTCTGAAGGCTTTGGCAGCATAGCAAGACTTGCCAAAGCCATATCTCCAGGTGAGCTTACCTTTCACATGGAATTTCAATGGTGGAGCGTGGAAAACAAACATAAACCCACAGTTTGGATGGGTTTTCTTTTGTCTGAGCCCTGCTCAGAAGCTGCAGGCAGGCGGTGTTTGGGTGACCAGACTGGATCCAGCGTTCTCTGGGCGGCCACGATGCTGAAAGAGAAGCAGCTCCACCTTAGGGCAGGCGCTGGTGCTGGAGCAGAGCCGACCTCGACACCAATTCAGCCATCAGCCATCAGCCATCACCATCATCTGTGCCAGACTGGCAACATCTGCTTCAGCCCCCAGCCAGGCTTCGAGCAAACACCAAGGTCTCAATTCTTGGGATCAGTTTGGGGCTGAAAAATTAGAGATTCCCTTAGTCACATTGAAAAAAAAAAATCCCCTCTAATGTTTATTTTCTTCCCTAATGAGGTTGGGGGTTAAAAAAGCTGTTTTCAGCAAATCCCCCTTTGCATCCTGCAAAAGCACCCTGAGACCCACAGTGGGTGGAAATCCCACCCAGAGCAAAACTCCACAAAAATAATAACACATCCTTGGTTGAAAAATAACTTTAAAAAAAAAAAAAAAGGCAAGACAAAGCAGGGTTCTATGGAGCCCTGAACATATCTGAATTAGTCCTATAAAAATCAGCTCTTGTGGCATATCGGCTTCCCTGCAGGAGACAGCAGGAGAAATGTTAACCTGGTCTTGATTTGAAAGCTGCTTATTAGTCCTCATCAAGCATAATTATGCTTCAAAGCCAAATGAGATGTCCAACTGAATTCTGAACACACGTTAATGTTTTTAAATGTGAAAAAAACCAACAAAACCCTATTTATTGAATCCCAGCCAGGCTCCAAATGATAAAATAGATGCTGCTAATGGCTCTGGGAAGGGAGGGCTGGAGCTTCACTGCAGCTTTGCCAATTAAATGGTTATTACTGACCAATTAGTCAGGAATCAACCCTGCTTTTAGTGATATCTGATTAAGTGCGTCCTGCAGATCAGCCTCGGTTGTTAACCAGGGGAAGAAACACCTTCTCCCCATCAGCCCCCCCAGATACTCACACTGGGCAGGGTTTGTGCCCACCCTGCTCATGAAAAATCCCTTTTTCTTCTAGCACTACCACTGTCCTGGGGAAAATACATCTCAAGGACCCACCTAGGCACGGCAAAACCTTTCAGAGCCAGGAAGGAAATGGGAAGGAAATGAAGGAAAAGGGGAAAATTAACCACACGCAGAGGGTGGCTTCTCCCCCTGCAGCTCACAGGTTGCTGCTGCCCAGCACATGCTGAGCCATGCCCATTCACAGGCTTTTCCAAATATTATCCCAATATTTTCTTTCAGTTCCCAGATAAATGGGCCTCTTCAGAAGGCTTTAAGCCTGCTCTGTTCCAACATTTTCTTTAAAGCAGCAGAGGAAACCTTTGAGTTGTGCCAAGCTGCTGAATCCTGCTTTCAGGGCTGAGCTGCAAGGGGTTTTCCAACAAAAAATAGGGGCAGTGTTGGGCTTTTTCCTTGTTTCATCAGGAAATATGAAGGAGGCCACATCACCCCTTAATCTTCCTTTCTTCCTGCCTGCTCTCCTACCCTGCAGTCCTTGTTTCCTGAGCTTTCCTGTGGTCTTCAGAAATTTCTGAGCATATTCCTAGATTTCCAGGAGCATCCCCCTGCAGAGCATCCTCCCTCTGAATACTCCTGAGCCATGGGCAAACTCCAGAGGGGGACCTTGGTATCTCCTGTGGGACAGGGACATCAAGGCCACAGCACCCAAGGGAGCTGGGGAAAGTGCCTATGCAACAGCCAGGGAGGGTGGAGCCAGACAAAAGATGGGAAAGCACAAAAAAAAGAGCAACATTTCAGAAAATGTCAGGGCAAAGAGCCCCTTCCTTCCAGGGACTGGGTGCAGCAACATGTAGAGGGTCCATCCAACCAAAATTATACTGGATGAGTGTGCTGCAAGCAGGGAAGCTGCTGTGGCTGAGCAGAGGATGACTGCTCACATTCTTGTTCCAGGTGATAAGATAGCTCTGGATGCCCTGGCTGGCTTGGACAGCACCTGGACAGAGGGAACAGCCCTTGGTCACAGGGACAGGGCTGGTAAGGATCTGTATGTATATCTGAAGTGAGACAGGGTGAAGGAGGGGAAGGAAAATCTAAAGACATGGTGGCTCTGGGAGTCTCTGATGGGCTGGAGGGGGAGAAGAGCACACCTGGTATAAAGGGGCACTGCTCAAGGCATTTCCTGGCTTCTTACTCTGCCCTACACATCTACAATGGTGCTTACAGGGTCTGGAGGGGGCAAGGGAGGTGATGCTCCCCAGGCACTTGGATTTGTGGGGTCCACGGCAATGCGTCCTTGGGAAATGCCACTAAGAACTCCAAAGCTGTGATGTGCAGAAGCATCCCCAAAGGGGTCCAGCCCTGCTGATGTGACAAGCTCGGTGACTGAGGATGGAATGTGGCCCTTTCCCTCCTCCCCAGACGGCTTCCTCCTCCTGGAAAAGGGGGAATCCCGTTTTCCCGGGCCACAGGCTGAGGCATGAGGAGGCCAACAGCCCCAGCAGACGTGGGATCCATTGTGGCCTCTGCCTGTCCCTATCCTCTGGAGCAGCACAAAGGCTGCATCAGATCATTTCCTCCTTTACCCCGGAGCCTCCCTCGGGGTCGGGGCACAAAGATTCCCCTCAGGGCCGTGCCCCGGGTGTCCGGGAGCAGCCGGGGCGGGCAGGAGATGCCGCGGAGCCCGGGGAGCCCGGGGAGCCCAGGACTGCCCGCGGCCGGTGCGCCGGGCCGGCACTAGGTGGGGATGGCACCACGCCGCGGGGAGGAGGAAGGGCGGGAGGAAGGGCAGCGCCGGGCCGGGCCGGGCTGGGCTGGGCTGGGCTGGGCTGCCCGGGGAGCGGCTGCCGGGATGAGCTGAGGGGGGCTACAGGGAAAGGCGGAGGGGAGGGATGGGCAGGGATGCGGGCGGCACGGCTGCGATGATGCTGGAGACAGAGTGGCGGGGGTGTTGGAGGCTGCAACCACCCGGTACCACATCAGGCATTATTGCCAGGGCTGTGGCTGTCTGTCAGTCGGAGGTCTGAGCCCCTCTCCTCGCCCCACTCAGGCTCGTTACGGTTCTTACTGACATTAATTACATTTTGAAATTTTAGAAAGGAAGTATTTCCCACATGTTCTCAGTCAGACCTTCTGCACCCCACAGCTTGCTCCATCCATGGCTCTGTGCTAAGGTGGGACACTGGCACAGCTGAGAGCTGGGCAGTTGGTCACCAAGCTTTGGAAAGGCTGGGAGGTGACCACAGTGCTGGGAGAGGGATGTAAAGTGCCTGTGGTCTCACTGCAGGGCTAAAGAGGGATGGATCCATGTCAGGAGGAAATCTCCATCACAGGGAGTGCTCCACACTGGTGCTGGGCCATGCAGTGAACCTGGCTGGGACACAGCAGGCCAATGCAATAACCCTGCATGTGAAAGGGTTTACTTGCTGTAAATCTTGGCAGGATTCACTTGGTCCAGTCCTACCTCATGAGTCACCACCAAAACCAGGGCACAGGGTAAATCTCACCCCCTCCCTGTCACACCAAGGCTCAGCTCATTTCCACAGCCACTGCACAAAGCATCTTCAGGGAAAGCATCACCCTGAAGTCCTGATCCAAGAGACAGGATTTTTCCAGCCTACTCCTGCAGGGACCCAAGCAGGAATTTGGCCATTAGCATCTGCAGGGAAACTCGAGGTGAGAAGTAACTGTTGGTACACATTTTTACACCAAATTTTGAGGAGCTGATCTCACCACCAGATTAGGTGCATAGATCACAGACATGGCCAAGTTGTTTAATTTTTGCTTCCCCTCTTCTCAACAAAAAAGGCCAACAAACCAGCCCAATCCTGCAGCATGTCTGTCAAAACCCATGTTCACCACAGAAATGGTGGCTCAGAATGAGCCACTGAGGTCTGCACCCTCAAATTAGGGGACAAAGGAAGTCAGCACCACTGGGACAGGAGCATAAATCAGAATATTGATTTAAATGTAACTGTTGATTTAACCCCTTCTGCGCCGCTCTGTGTTCCTCACATGCTCATCCAAATAAGAGAGAACATTATTTCAGACAAACTCCATGGTTGCTTGCTTTGCAAGCCATCAGCCCCCAAAACTCACAAGTCCCTTTGTGCTCAGGAACCAGGCAGGGTGGCAGGTAGGGATCAGAATCAGGATGGCCAAGGACAGCCCTGAGAGTAAGAGTGCACGAAGCAGGATCTTATTACCAGGGGTCATCAGTGCTACAGGTACCAGATTACACTTCTCTGAGGGTTTGTTTCTTGTCACAGCAAACAAAATCAGGTTCTGAGCACATCATCACATAAATATATAATATTTTTATATAACCCAGCAGCTCCAGGAGGACCTCAATGCTGCATTGCATACAGGAAAGCTGGTGGCTCCAGTGCACCCAGAGGTGCTGCCTTACCTTAAACTCACCCGGAAAAATCCCTCCAGAACCTCTGGGGCTGCAGCTTCACCTTCTCAAAGTGGCATGCACACAGCAGAGGTGGTTTGGAGAGCTCCCATGCTTAGACAGGGAAGGGAGGCAGTGGGAGGTCAGGACTGTGGAGCAGGAAGTGATCCCCCCCAAACTCAGTCCAGTTTGAAAGCCTGGCAAGCACTAACACTAACAAACAGTCAGTGTGTTTATATCCCACCTTCCTGCCGGAGAGCAGGGGTTATTTTTGGCATATTTTGTCATTGGTGGAGATGTCAGTGAAGGCCAGGAACACTGCAGAGCTGTTGGGAAAGCCCAGAGGCAATTGCCCCAGGCACAGGATGATGAGCTGAGGGATGTGGGAAGCTGCTCCAAACCATTCACACAGGGGTTGGGTTTTGCCTGCAGGATGTGGGGCACAGCTCTGGCTTCAAAACACCTGGGGGCTAAGAACAGCATGGACTGTCCTATTCCAGCCCTATTTCAGCCCCATACTGCTCCCATTCACCCCGTGCAGAAATGGAGCAGGAGTGTCATCCTGAGCCCTCACCCACCAGTGCTTCACTCCTTCCCACCTGTCCTGCCTGTGCACAAACCATGGCCATCAGCTGGGCACCAACAGTGATGTTCTGGCATCATCAGTCACCTCTTCCAGCCTGCACTCACTGTCTTTCAGCAGGGCTTACTGCTCCTGCTGAGTCAAAACAGAAAGGAAGAAGAGAGCACAAAGCAGGATCGCTCTTGCCCACTTGCCATTGTGTCACAGGGCTTGGCCACATTCCTTCCACTCCCTGCTGGCTTTAAGATCATTTAAACCACTCACCTCCCCTGTTTTCCCCCAGCAAGTGACCTCCTTACCTACAGTTTTGGATCTGCTTTGTCCCTCCTGTGAGCACCAGACGTCCTCTGCAGCCAGGACTGCTTTTCTTGACAAAACCAGCAAGATCAGCAGGGAGAGCACATGAGTTCCTGTGGTTCTTGCAGGCTGATGGCTTTGGCAGATAGCTGGGTCTTCTCTTCCACACATGTAACTAAAATAGGGAGCGTGAGTATCTGGAAAACCCAGGTTTGATTTGGGCAGAAGCTTGGACTGGTATCAGCCAAGAGGAAAACAGGTAAAACCAGGATTCTGGCAGGTCAGGAGTTACTGGCCAAACCTCAGACCAGGTGTGATAACCTCCACTGCCCCACTGCAGCAGGGAATGTGGCTGGAAGCACCATCCTTTCACATGGCTAGTCCATAAAACACAAGATTTAAGTCCAGAAAGCTGGTGGATAGGTGAAGAGAGACCTTCTTCCATGCCAGCTCCAGATGTGTGGTCTCCCATCTCCTTCAGCCTTTGCTGCTGCTAACTCCCCATGCACCACCTGAGGATTTGGCCATCCCCACACTTCTTGTCTGGCACAGGTAGGACTGAGAACTGATTTAGCCCCTCAGCCACGGTGCAGTTTGAGAAGATGCCACAGGCTCTACTTGGCATCAAGAGCCCGAATTGAGCCCTATCTTTGCACACCCATTCAGATCCAGCACTTTCTTTGGGCCTCTTTGTTTTAGCCCCAACCAAACAGATGAAATTAAGACCATCCCCATTAATTCCCCATGTATATGAAGGGGTTGAGGATTTCTCCTCCAGCTCAGGACCCCTGTGGCCTCACTGAGCCCAGCACTGGCTTTCAGTCTCACAGGCAAGTTCACCTCCTCCCTCCCCACTGCTGAGCAGGTAACAGGGCAATTCCCCTAATGAGTCTCTGTCTGTCCGGCCCTGCTCAAAGCAATTAACAAAGCCAGGCACTAATGAACTTGGCTTCAGAGCACCCTGGAGATGGGTTATTGCCATTTGAAGTGGAGGAGAACCAAGGCGAGAGCAGGTGGAGTGGCTGACCCTGGTCACGAGGTGCCTTGGTTGGATGCAGGAGACAGAGCTCCCTGCCTGGAGCAGGGAAAGGATGGCAGGTAGACACGAGGGCGACCACAGCTCTCTCATGTGGTGTCTGTGGCTGGAGAGACTGGTTTGTCCACGTTTGGGAGGGCAGGAGGGACTCCCCACCCACCCCAGTCCTGTCTCATCCCCGAGTGGCTTTGGGGAAGCTGTGTCTGCAGCCAGAGCTCCTGACACCCGCCTTGGTGGAACTCCCCTACATCCTGCACCCCAAGTTTTGCAAGACCCCAAATGCAGTCATTGAGGCACAGAGCAGCAGTGGTCATGGGTCCCCTTGCAAAGAAACTTCCTCAGTTCATGACTCACCATCCCACCCTTCCTGGTGTCACTCGTGACTCCGTTTCACTTTGCTGCAGCAGCATTTCACCATCTCTTATCAATGCAGAAGACAACAGGGCAGCCCGTCCTGGCTGCAGACATGTGCCCATCACCTCTCCCTGAAGCATTTTTTGACCAACCTCCCCTTTGTTGTGAGCTGAAGATCCTCTTGTAAACAACAGGTTCCCCTGCAATGCTGGAGGGGGTCAGAGTGGGTGTCTCCAGGTCTGCCTGCAAGGGTGAGGATAGCTGATAAATCACAGGGATGTGGCCTCTGCACCACATGCTCTCACAGCACACACGTCCTCACATGCACGTTGACGGCATGCTAAAAATATTCTTCACTTTTTGACCGATTAAAATTTTCCAGGAGATTTGGAACCACAGCCCCCACCCTATCTGTACAGCCAGAGGCTTCCCCTCACCTCCCCTAGCCCTGCCAGGAAAACAGAAAATACTGAACAACAGTTCCAGTAATTTGGGGGGTTTTGGTTCCTTTAAAAGCCTGGTTAAAATATAATATTTTTTCAATAGTTTATTTTGTGATGTCTGGCACCATTCTGGAGCTAAACTTGGCGCCCTGTCTTGCTCTCATACACCCCCTGAGAAGGCTGTGGGTGAGCTGGGATGATCCCACTTCCCACCCAAAATCCCATTTTGATGGCTCAGGAAATTAAACAAAGAAAATATGTTTTAAAACCAGCTCCCACTTGGTGTTAGGCAGCAGAGAGCTAAGGCTGGCTTGGTGACAGCTCTGAATGCTGATGGCCAGTCACAATTTTCTTGACTTCTTTCAGAGGTGCCTGTTGTGCCAGGTAAAGAAGGAACCTGAAGGATGCTGTCAAACCCCTGGCCACTGGCCAGGCCCCTCTGTGCCATCTCTGGTGCTTGTGGCAGCATTTTCTTTGCCTAATTTGGCTCTCGGCCATGGAGGAGGAGCAGGGGAGGCACAGAAGGTGTTTATACAACATGGGGATTGTCTTGGCGAGACCACAGCCTTTGCCAAACTGAGCTGAGCTGATAGGAAGGAGATGTCATCAGTGTGTTTTTGCCAATTATCACTAATAATTATTTGTTACAAGCTCCAGTCCTGGCTCAGCCTCTGATGCTCTTGTAGCCCTGTGAAACTGAAGCAAACAGGAGGGTCCTACCCCAAAAGAGAGGCAAGGAGAGGGAGGGCAAGTGCAGTGCTTGGGAATGCCCTGACCACGGTGGTCAGCACAATGCATCCTCCCTCTTGGTGTTCTCTCCCTGCTCACACCAGCTACAACCAGTTAGACCCTGTTTGTCCTCCCTTGCCTTTTCTGAGTGTGTTTGGTGCCTCAGCCTCTTGTCAAAACCCAGATTCATCACAGCACAGCTATTAGCTGCTCCCTCCCATGTGAGATGTCTTTCTGCTGACACGGCAATCATTCTCCTGTCAACGTGCCTTGACAGTACCAGGATTTCTCATTTCAAGTCCTGGTGTGTCCCAGGGTGATTCCCAGCTCCTCCATTAACCCCTGGCCCTGCAGGATGGGGATAGCCTGCCCTCATGGATGCTCTGCTATCCCTCCCACCTCTGGTTAGCAGAAGCTGCCTCCTGTTTTTCCTCTCAGCACTTGCCATACCTATGCAGAAGAGCATTTAACCTGGAGGTAGAGAGTGTCAGACTTTTATTCTTCTTTCTTTCTTATTTTCTATGCTGAGAACAATGGAGGCAAGGTTTGCAGAGGGAGGTAATATCTTTTTTTAGACTGACTGAAATAATTAGAAGAAAAACCAGGCAGGCTGTTGGGTACATGAGCCCTCCAGCAGGCCTGAAATAGCTGCAGAAGTCTGCAAAGCTGAATACCAGTGGAGAACAATAGCTCTAAGCATGACTAGCGTTAACCACTTCTGCTACAAAAGACCATTCCCCAGCTGTTTTCCTTGGGACATCACCCCTCTGCCAAAATCCACTGTCCAGAGACCACCCCGTGGCCAGGAGCCACTGCTGTGGCTGAGGGAGCCACGTGGCTGCACACACCTGAGCCCTGGCCATTGCTCCATGCTGGCTCCTTGGAGCATCCCTCACCTCTCTCCACGCTGTGCCCTGTCCTGCAGCTCCTGGGGCCTGGCCTGGCCCCAGCCCCAGGGACAGTGTGCCACCCCAGACCCTGCCTCACCCCTGCCTGACCATGAGGACTCTCTGATTTCAGGCACTGTCTTACTACAGGGGTCTGGCGTGACCTCATGGGACACTCTCTGATCCCTGGGCACCGTGTGAGACACAGGGACCCCCTGACCTGTGGGATCTGCTGATTTCAGGAACTCTCCTACCACGGGGTCTAGCCTGATCCCTGGGGACCCTGTCTGACCCCAGGATCTGTATGTGACCCCGGGGACCCCGCCTAACCCTGGGGATCCTATTGGACCCTGGGGACCCCGACAGACACAGGGGTCCTTCTCATTTCAGGGATCCTCCGATTTCACAGACATTGTCTCACCACGGGGGTTTTCCCTGATCCCCGATGACCCTATCCGATCCCGGGGATCTCTCCTACCCCGAGCTCCATGTCCCGCTCCGGTTATCCTGTCATCCCTGGCTATTCTGCCCACCCCAGGGTCCCTGTCCCACCCCAGGGTCCATGTCCCACCCCGCAGGCGCCGTCTGAC